AAAAAATTACCAAAAAAAGATAAATATACGTGAAAATTACTACCAAGAAAAAATCTGAGTGTACGTATTAGTCACTACAAGAAATGTTGGAAATTTGTTTAAGAAAAATATTGTGCGGAAACACCCAATAATAATATTATTATAATGATCACATCACTCTTTTTACATTTGTATGTACCTTAAAAATCGTGTATTGTTTACTATCTGTACTTGTGTATAAATAAATTAAATACTTACAAAGCAAACGAAATATCATTCTGCTCCTGAAAGCCATTCCGTCTTATGACACTGTTTCTGTCCTATTGCAATTGTCCTAATTTAACAGACGGTTAAAGTAAGCATGATAACACAATTGATAAGACTTATGTCGTCATCTGTTTGACATTTAGTATTGTTTCCAGTGCAAAAAGGTCAATAATCTAGATACAATGATTTTTTTTTCATTTTTAATTTGCAGTAATGTCACATAGGGGCTTAGGTTATATATGCAAACAACCGACTATTTAGGGTCATAAAACCAAATATTTTCTTTTACTTATAAGATAAACGTTCTTGTTGTTACATGTAGTCAAAGAGTTCCCGGACCAACAGACACTTGGGGTAAAACCCAGCCCCCCAGCCTTGATCCGCCCCCGTCAATGTCTATTAAAAACTTCGACTTTTAACTCGGATGGGGCATCGTATATATCCTGACACTTTACAAACGAATAATTTCTGTCGTTTGAAATTGGTTGATTCATTTATTTTCACGATACGTTATTTTTTCTGAAAAATATTCGCCGAAAAAACAGCACAGACACTTTGAAAATTGTCAATTTCTGATATAAAACAGTAATATATTTTCTTTTCTGGCGTTTTTTCCATCAGAGTTCGTTATTTTATGGTCAAAATACGGAACTATTTGACTCGTTATGGATTCATGGCCGTTTCAAGTCAAATTATATATTTATCTTAAACTAAACTGTCAAAGGTAATTGCATTATGAGTATAAAACTTGTTTAAACATTCTACCCCACTTTGGTTCTTCCAGTGAAATTTACAAGCATTAATATACATGTAGAATGCTATTATAAAAACTCCTTAGCAAAAAATATTAAAACAAAAACAACAACATAAAAACAATAAGAACTTCAATAAGTTTAAAAATATAAATATGAAAAACATGGACCTGCAAGGTCTTGATCTTACAACCTGTAGGACATGAAATCACAAACCCAGTTCGAACATTATCTTTTTGAAATAAATAATAGCTTATTTTTTCATTAAACGCACGGAATTTAGCGCCGTTTGTTACTTAAGTGGACTTCAAAAAGAAATACTAAGTTTTTTTTTCCGGTAAGCAAGAATTTAAAGCCTACTCAAGAGATTCATCGTCGAGTCAGAGGCCAAAGGCCGTCGCGTGGGAGAGGTCAATGTCCTCTATAGATGACCCTAGTCCAAGGTCACGACCGAGCAAGTCCGATACACGTTGTAGAACATTAATTCAAGATATTATGTTCTGCAATTGAACCTTATTAAACCATTCCAGGCGTTATCGGACACCCGGGACGGCCAGTAAATAAAGTATGCACATGCTTATTATTCTGACACATGGACTTATTTTCTAGGCAATTATATGGGATGCTCACCCGATTTATTCAATTTTTGGGATCTAAAAAAGAGCTCTCGGTAAGATTATAGCTAATTTAGAATATGAAACGTTTTTGAAATGTTACAAAATAGACAATACATTGATGTATCTTATTTTTGTAAACGTTTCGAATCGACAATCCATTTTAAAAAAAAAAGAAAAAAAGAAAGATCTGTTTATCTAATCTATATACATACAACTAGTATATACAAACCATGTTCTAAAACATGTACACATTCATTCTATATGAGAATTATAAGAGACAAGAGAATCGTTCACACAAGAAACTACTTGTCACTAAAACAGGCACATTATGTGGTTAAATAAGGAAAAATATTGAACAAAATTTGTAAAAAAAAATATTGATTAAAACAAGGAGATATAGTTAAATGTCATACTTGTAAAACTAATCAAAATGAGTTTATTAATTAGTCCTATTTACTTCTTTAAAGAATGATTATTTCCAGTTAACTTGATAGCAATTTAAAATCTATATTTCTTTTGTAAAATCAAAAAGCATATACATTTATTAGAAGATGAGCTTATTTGTATAGCCACACAGTTGTGGTGTGTTACAACATAATAAGTATTCTTACTATACAAAATATTATTACTATATTTAAGAATTTCACGAGCAATCTTATTTGGTGGGCAAAAACAGCAGGTCTTATCATATGGGTGTCCTGGTTGGCAAATATTGGTACATACACTTTTCATGACTTGACATTATAGCAAACTTATCACAGGTATAGTGAGCATAATCATCTAACAATGGTTTCCTATCGTGTCACACAAAAGACATTCCATTATTACATGTTATTCATTTTCAATACCATCTAGACACAGTGGACATATCATTTCATGATTTATGCGATCGGAGTACTTAGCTCTTGGTTCATTTTATATTGTGGCAATACTGATCTGAGACACATTAAATTTTGAAAGCTGTTTCGTTAGTTTCTGTAATATATAATGATTTACACTCAGATTTTTTTTATGGAAATGTATCAAATCTTTAACTGATACATACGTCCTGATAGCCTTGTGGTACATATGGTAGCAAAGCAATCGCGAAGTTGCAAGCTTGAATCCTCAACAAACTATTTTGTTTCAAATTTCTTTAACTATTTTTTAATATATGCAGCATTAGTGAATAAGTCATTTTTTTAAATTTCTGGTGTCTTTTCTTTTAAAGATCATAGCTTTGATATATAGATGTATTTGTAAATTTTCATAATTTCAAATTGAATAGTCGGACAATGGGTAGTTGGCATGCACGCAAACTTAGTAGTAAAGGTTATAACATAATGTTTCATTAAGATTCGAACCTTCAATTTGAAACTAAAAGTCTTAACTCCTTATCATTTGGGCTAGATTGGCAAGTGTTCAGTCGGTAACGTTAATTTATGCATAAACCGTGTATACCTTTATGCCATATTTTTAAATGATTTACTTCGGAATCCGATAATTACCGACAAAAAGTCAATGAATATTCAAATCTCTCACGTGAATATTGCCAAACAATATAATTAAATTACAAATTAAAGTCGTGATAAAATCAAACAATACACATTATTTCGTTGGTTAACTTAATTAACCACGTTTTATGGATGCCATTTATTTGGTGGATTAACAAATTGGTTACAATTATCAGAAGCGCAACAAAATTCACAACTAAACTGGTTCGTATAGATAAAAGCCTGGTCGAAAGCCGTACATTTGTCGTCCGATGAGTATTTCTCGAACCATCCTTTTTGACAATCATCTCTCGTTCCACATCTACAAATGATATACAATGTTTGCCTTATCTGTGTAAACTTAACATGAATTAACAAGAGCATTGCAAAGACGTAGCAATATGCGTCTGAATCTAGATTTGTTTAAAGACCAACTCAGTCTCAGAGATCTATGTTGGCTGATTTGATACATTGCACGTTGCGTTGTCGAACAACACAAGAAAGCGCCACACCGCGCGTTGTCCCGCTGTGGTCTGTGGTATTGCCGTCCTGTCTCTAGCGAAGCACGCAAAACAGCGCATTGTCAAGCGGCGAGTTGTCGCGATGTCGCCTGGCTTATGAGCCAATCCAAACCGATTGACAATGTGTCATCGCGACAACAAGCCGCACGACAGCGCGTCGTTTGGCGTACATCGATTGCGACAAGACGAAAGTCCGACAACGCGCCATTTGGCGCTTTGTTCTGTTGTCGATAGCGCCAACAAGACGCACAAAAGCGTTCCAAATCAGCCACCATAGAGATCACTTCAATTTTTGACGTTTTTGACTTTCCTTAAATGTACAAGGTATGATAAAAAAAATTCTCGGCCCGATAGACTTCTAGCCGCTACACTGACATTTACACAAGATACGTCGATACCGATATCTTACTGAAGATAACTGACCGAGTTATATGCGGTTTTACACAGATTAAGTAACATAAAACGCACTTTGATCAGTAGAAGGGTGTGTCATTTAGACCAAATGGCAAAAATTGAAATCAGAGCCGTCATTAAGTACCTCTGGTGAATTAAAGACAGGCATGGTAGGTGATGAGCGGCCTGGGTGGCCAAAAGAGGCCACCAACGATGAAACTGCCGTAGTCATGTGCCACAGAAGGCGAGACCTGCGAATCATTAATAAGGAAGTGGGAACAAGCTTTGGTTCAGTTCAGGTAATTCTGACTGATGTCTATGGCATGTCAAATGTTTCCGCTAGATGAATCCCCAGACAGTTGACTGACGACCTGAAACGGACCAGGCTTGATATTTCAAGACATCTTTTGTCTCGCTACGAAGATGAACCTGATTTTATCTACCGGATCGTAACTTAGAATGAAACATGGTCCATCACTTCGATCCAGAAAGCAACAACAGAGCATGCAGTGGAAGCACCCTGGCTTACCCCTCCGAAGAAATTCAAGAGGGTGCAATCGGCAGGGAAGATGACGGCTTCAATTTTTTGGGATAGTCAGGGGATAATCATGATTAACTATCTTGAGCACGGTCGTACAATAAACAGTACGTACTATACAGATGAATTGAGATGTCTGTGTCAAGAAATCGCGCGTAAAATGAGGGGAAACTGACTCAAGGCATTCTGCTCCTGCACGACAATGCGCCAGCTCACACATCCCAAGTTGCGATGGATGTTGCAACTGAATGCGGCATTGAAATTCTTCCCCATGCCCCATATTATCCGGACTTGGCCCCCTCTGACTTGTACCTGTTTCCAAAACTGAAAACCAAGCTTCATGGTAGACGTTTTGGAAGCAATGAAGGTGTCATGGAGGCTGTCAATGAGTTCTTTGAGATAAAAAAGAAATTGATAAAAAATAGAGAGTTGTATTTTGAAGGGTTAAACAAGTTGAAGCACAGGTGGGCAGAGTGCATTGATGTAGAGGGCGATTATTTTATTGAAAAGTAAGACCATTACTTGGGTTCTCTGACTATCGGAAGTACATCGGGCCGAGAACTTTTTGATTCAATCCTCTTATATATTAAAAAAATCTCTGAAACTGCAAGGCATACAGCAAAGATATTTTGCATGCAACATTGTTTGGTTTTCTCTACCGAGTTTATTCAAATTAAAGCAATGAGATAAAAACTGAACTGGCCCGGGGTCTTAAGATTTGCTTTTATATATATATTAAAATAGTTAAAAATTAAAAACTCTTCTAAAAATTAACAGGCTATAGCTTAGATATTTTGCAAGAAACATCGTCTAGTTGACCTCAAGTTAAAAAAAAAAACCTTGGGGTAAAATTACACACCCCTTATGAACCGGGGCCAATCCAATGACCTTTCTTTTGGTATTTTAAAACTACAGCCATGAAATCAAATTAATTTGAGATGCAAATTTGCAGATGCAAATGAACTTTTATATGAGTTGACCTCGATTTTGATCAAGTGACCTATTTTTTTTTGTATTGCCAGATGTAGAATTTAATTTTTAGACAAGTTGAACTCAGTGACACGTTTATGTTAATACAGCTTTGAAATTTAGACAATATGTTCAGTTTAAGATGCGAAATTTAATTTTTACATACATTTTGACCATATGACCTCCTTTTTGTATAGAGAGCTACAAATTGGATTAAGATTTAATCTTTGACATCATTTGACCAAGAGGTTTATCAAGCGTCCTAAATATTTGTATTTTATAGCTACAACTATGCAATTTGGACTTTACATAATATTTCAGATGGAGAGTTTGAACTATATGTGGACCTACAGTTTTTACCCAGTGGCATACTCTTCACATAACCTGATCATTGTACAGTGAACTTCCGATGAAAAGCAAACTTTTACCCAAATTGAGCTGTTCTTCCAGCAAAAGTTTTCAAAACATCAAAGATATCCGCGTTACGTTGGGAGCAGTTCGATCGGGGCTGCTATTTGACCTCGCTTATACCCTAATAGGTAATTATTTATACTCGTATATTAATTTTAGTCCCCCCCGCCCTAAAACAAGCGTTTCCAAAATCATAAACATGTTTGGCGGCCATCTTGGTTTTTCCGCTATTTTGGATTTTCAGAAGTGGGTTCTATGCTCATTATTTTTATCCAGCCCAAAGTTGATTTTCCGAATTTGTTCCTTTTTCGATATTCTGTAGTATTTTTATCAAATTTTCTAGACTCTATAAGTCTGTGTATAATAAGCGATCCCTGGGGCAGGGCCTATTCTAATATGAGGAAGCAAAAACATACGATTTGCACATTGTTGCATTTGATTTCCTTTCATCGGTTCAGTACGGAAGAGTATAATGTCAGGTGTGTATTTTTATTAACTTGAAATTTCGACTTAATTATCTCAAAATTTCGAGTTAGTAACTCGAAATGTCGACTTATTAACTCGAAATGTCGAAGAATGGCTAAAAAGTAATGAGTTACTAATTTCAAATAATATAAGATACAGTAGGGAGTGCGATTGAACGATGGAGGCCTGGTTAAACTTTAACTTATTAGTGTGGTCAACTTTGACAATGGCATGTTCACTCCCGATCTCAAAAACACAGGGCTTCCTTTAATTTGTACGTTCAGCCGTTCTTTATTATCTTTTATTATATTCGACCTGTTCGAACATATTTTCTCACTTATCATATCTTTCTTATCCCTGTGAATAAAACGATCCTTTACTTCACGTGTGGGACATCTGAGGGAAAGTACCACGGAGTGGCCAAAGTAGCGCGCGCTGAGGCCTTTTTCAAATTTGTTGCTTTAATGTATATAACAACAAGTTTTTATCAACTTTTATCAACACAATATGAATCAAAGTCTGAGTAAATAAAAGAATATAGAATATTGACAAACACCTTTCAAAAAATGTTACAAAAATATTATTTGAAACGTGACAGACTAACTGGCGTATACACGCCACTTAAAACTTAGTTTACACATGAAAATTGCACAGTTTACAATAGGGTGGTTTTTGGACTTGTACGTATCTCCACATGATGGTTGTATGTGTTCTTTAGACACAAGAAACATCCGGTTAACAAAGAAATGTGGAAAGTGTGATTTTATCTCACCTGCCCCCTACCCAAGTTAGTAAGTCGAAATTTCGAGTCAGTAAGTCGAAATTTCGAGTTAGTATCTCGAAATTTTGAGAGAAGTTATTCAAAATTCCGAGATAAGTAACTCGAATTTTCCAGTTACTAACTCGAAATTTCGAATTAATAATAAACACACCTGGCACTAATGCCCTTTCGTAGTTCAAAAGATACATCGTTGACACAAAATTCAAAAATTAATGCATTACGACTTAGTGTGACCTTGACCCTCTCATTATTACTGATACATCTGCCAAGTAGTTTCAATTTCCTTCATTCAATTTAAAAAAAATAGAGGGGACTATTGCTATCAGACTGTCAGACGGACGACCAAGCAGGTGTATAACATTATGCCCGTTATTAAGTTACTTCAGGCGTAAGAAATGTGCATTAAATACAAGCATAACTGGTCATATTTTTCATAACTTTTCGGTGGTATTCATTCGCGATTTGTTCAATGATTAAGTAAAACTTTGTCATGATATATATTTATATACAAACTATCGTTTATAAAAGATATATTTACAATGTGTACATACTTCATTTCAACGAGTCTTGATGCATTCCTGAAGTTTGTGAGTGTATTTATACAATACTGTTTCTCAAGTGGACAGTCTGCTGGAAAATTTACCTTTTCACATATTTGAGGTGGTCCTTGACACAGGAAACAGCTTCCTACAACAATAACATTACGAAGGCCTTTAGGGGCATAGTAGCTTACCGACACACAAAATACTGAAATGTGTTTTAATGTAATTGAAAAATATCAACATAATTATATATGTGATAAATAGTAATTGCAGTCGTGTCTGAAAACATTAATCTGCCAATTTTACATACATTATCTGGTAGTTGAACATAGGCTATTGCACATGGATATCCCCGCCTTTTACTTTTTGTTCTCTCATACGACCATATAGAATTAAAAAAATTTTTTTTATCTCATATAGAGATGTCAAAACACATGGGATTGGGTTTTTGTTTAAAAAGGGGAAAATCAAAATGTTTTCAACGCACTAAAAAAAATTTTAAATTAAAAAAATTGTTTTTTGGTGTAACAAATTTACTACATAAAACCATCTGGTAGCGAAAAATTTTTTCCGGCAATATATGGTTGAAAACAAACTAAAATTAATGACGATATTGCCGGAATTTTCTCAGTTTTAAAAAAAGGCGAAAAATAAAAATGAATATTATTGTAAAAAAAGCCCAAACTGACCAGAGTTTAAGATATAAGGTTAATGAGAAATTTTCCCAGGGGGAAGGTCGTGAGCATCACCCGTAAAGTGAATTTGCACTGAAATATGAAATTTTTAAAAGGGTGTTTTAAAATTTAAAAATTGTTTTTAAACGGGGGAAAAAAAATTTTAGGAATTTTTTTACACAGTGATGATAATTTATGTATCTAATACCATCCAGAACAATACAACAACATTATTTCTCAGAGATATTTGACAAATTAGCACACATGTGCACTACGATTAACCAATTTTAATGTCCCAAAAAACATGAACCTGACAAGTGTAAAAATATAATAATATTTACAGTATTATAACCACTTATATTAATCCTATTGTTTTTTGTACAATATATGTTGCTCATTTACAAAAAGAAAACGAATTTTCAAACATGTTTTGGGGGAAAAGTAATTACGTGTCAGATGAGAACACAGGTTCTTATTGCATTTATCCGTGCTGCAACACTCGTGACATTGGGATTGTTGTCGTTTGTCAACTCCTCTACCAACTAAACCTGGTGTCACACCACATTGCTGCTCGTAAACATACAGTTAAAGTAAAGATATATTTGAGCCGCGTCATGACAAAACCAACATAGGGCGTTTGCGACCAGCATAGATCCAGACCAGCCTGCGCATCCGCGCAGTCTGATCAGGATCCATGCTGTTCGTTTACAAACTCTATTACAAGTAAAGAAACTGATAGCGAACAGCATGGATCCTGACCAGATTGCGCGGATTCGCAGGCTGCTCTGGATCCATGCTGGTCGCAAACGCACTATGTTGGTTTTGTCATGGCGCGGCTCATTTGTCTTAGTAAAAAGGACGCTCGGACTTAACTTACTAGAACTAAATCTGCAGGTCGACAATTATTTTTAATCAAAATCTACTGATAATGAAGTGGTGTTATATTTATTTTAATTTAAAACGTGCTGACATGATAGTAGACTGTTATAATTGTAGGTCGGCCGTTCTATTTTTATACATATCATTCTACCAGTAACGAAGTTAACCTTATTTTGAAAATAAGTTATCGGTAATAATCACACTTTGTTAAGACACCGTTATCATGACAACAATATTCCAAACTATTCGTACAGACAATTATGGTGGCGGTGTTGGTAGTTTTCACTCAGAATCACGGCTGTAAACACATTGAATTTAACAAAGCACAGTTCAACCACCGCATCGTTCCTGAGCAAGCTGTCAAGCAGTTTACCAGTACTAGTTGCCTTCACTTTCGCAAGGTTCTGAAACTTCTGTACATACCAGAGCAGAGGTACAGTGCGAATGCCCGTAGAAAGGATTTCATGATCAATCACAACGAAAGTGACCTGTGCCGTCCAGGGATCGAACCCGGGTCGCCCGATTCACAGCCCAACGCATTACCTATTGAGCTAACCGGGCGTTTTGTTATGGATAAGGCACATATAATCAATTTCAATTTGGTCTTTCATCAAAGATGTACATGTCTTGAATTTATAACTGAAGAAATATTCTAATTTTTTGAACTCACTTAATGTAGTTTGTTTTATTAAGCATGTACCGCGAGATGTTATTTTCAAACCCCACCCCAAGATTACTTTAAAAATATAATTGAACACAATAAGTATTTAGTTTGTGATAATCTTACTTACTTGGTTATCTGTACATCCTAAAGTTACGATTTTACCAGATGACACTTTGTGCATGTAACACGACTGTGAATGAAAAAAAAAACGGGATCTTTTACTGACAAGCATGGAAACACTAAATCAATGCATTGAATCAATGTTTCAATATATGAGCCGCGTCACGACAAAACCAACATATTGCGTTTGCGACCAGCATGGATCAAGACCAGCCTGCGCATCCGCGCAGTCTGATCGGGGTCCATGCTGTTCGCTATCAGTTTCTCTACTTGTAATAGAGTTGGTAAGCGAACAGCATGGATCCTGATTAGACTGCGCGGATTCGCAGGCTGGTCTGGATCCATGCTGGTTGCAAACCCATTATGTTGGTTTTGTCATGGCGCGGCTCATATGGTTGAAGTGATCTTATATAAATTCCACATGGTTAAATTATTTGAAAACAAGAAATATCTTTCAAATTGATACTCGACCGAAGTAAAGCTTGGTAAGTGGTAGATGTAATATCTAAGTTTTCGATACATATAACATGAACATATGTCAAGAACAATCCTTTAGAATTTATTTTAGAACTATCCTTAAGATTCTATTTTTGAATGACAAAAACCAATTTTACATTTTATGTAATAATGACCAATGAGATTCCGAGATTTAAGTTGACCGATGATAATTCTTCTTATATTCAGTCCTTTCCTGTCTATTATACAGGAAGTGAAACTGATTTTAAATATATAAAAATAGCTTTCCATATAAGATGTCTATCTGACCTGTAGTCTCAATTACAGTTGCACCCGGACATCTTTTCCTGTCGGTTTAAGATATTGCTCTGTGCTCTGTCGCAAATTTACCTTACCATTCTAACATTGTACATTTGTGAGAACATTTACCTGCCCGGCCCGACAGTCTGTTACCGTCAAACAATCGCCAGCATCAGATATGTTAGAACAGTTGTAACATTGAAGAGCTACAATCGTTAATATAAGTCTTACAAAACAGCATGGATCCTGATCAAACTGCACGGATGCGCAGGCTGGTCTGGATCCATGTTGGTTGCAAACTCCCTACGTTGGTTTTGTCATGACGCGGCTCAATTATGTGCTTCATTTATATGCCAACTTGCATATAATAATAATAATAATAATAATTATAATAATAATAATAATAATAATCAAATAAACTGAACATACTATAAACATCAATAATCACATTATATCATGAGCACTGAACATAATATACTTAGAATACGAGAAAAGTTCGGAGTTGTTTATATGGTGTCTTATCACGTTTATTTCTTATGGGGAATAAGTTAGAAAATTAATGACAACTTAAAAGCAGTGTTAACTGTTATGAGGAAGCATGGTTCATACTTAAATATAAATATCCGAGATATCTAAATAGAAACTTCAAGTACAGATGTTTAATCAGGATGACAGATATAACCTAACTTTTATTTCCCTTCAATATCATATGTTACATATATTAGCTAAAGCTATGTTACAAAAATTTCTAATTCATTGTCTAGCTACGACATTGTTTTGAATTTTTAGATAACGAATACCATATGAAATATATCATCCTTAAAATAATTTACCCGCTGTTCCGTTAATGGAGAGTTGAAGAACTAAAGCTACACCTGAAATAAGAGGGAAGATCACTATTAATGCAAGCATCAATGTGTGTTTTTAAAGTAATTAAAAAAAACATCATTTTATCTGCTTATTTTTGACAAGGCTTTAAGACGATGAAATTTATTTACCGGTCAAACTAAACCTTTGCGCTACCTATGGTAGCTGATTACGCCATGTCGTATTTTCGCTTCTTCGCCTAAAAATGCGAAAATATGACATGGCGTAAATCATCCACCATAGCTATCTCATTTCATGAACAGATGTTGCGTAGGGGAATCTCTTTTCTTTGTTCCGTTTACCACAGCAACGAAACCCCCAAAGGGACCAAAAAGAAATAAAGCAGACTATGGTAAAAAAATGGGAGATTTCCGTTAAATACATTATAATTTTGCTTATAATATTTTTACTACCCAGTGAAGAACTCCAACCCAGAAAAAAAAATAAAGGTTTTTCATATGGTGGCTGATTTGTGCCATTCGTGTTTTCGCTCCCTCTGATAAGCGTGTTTAACGCACCGCTCCCCGCCGTTTTATTTCTTTAATCTCGTTCTACGCCTCCGCGGGATGACGTTTTATTTATTAAACTTCGCCCCGCGCCCTCGCCATTTTAACTTGTTAATTCTCGACCTTTCGCTTGTCGGGGTCGGAGAACGAAAACACGCTCATTAGCGGGGGCGCGGGGCGAAGTTTTATTAATTAAACTTCGTCCCGCGACCCCGCTAATTAGCGTGTTTTAGTCCTCCCCCCCACGTTTTATTTCTTAAAACTCTGCGCGTCTGCGGGGTGAAGTTTAATTTATTAAACTTCGCCCAGCGCCCTCGCTTAAAATTAGCGTATTTCGCTCCGCGCCTTCGCCATTTTAACTATTTAATTCTCAAATTTTCGCTTGGCGGGGTTGCAGGGCGAGAACATACATGGCACAAATCAGCCACCATAATTTCGTAAAAAATGTATCACTCATTTTTATGTGTCTGAGACAGTGTGCATTACTTTCTGGCATTTTTTATGTACAAAATAAATTGAATACTTACTCAGCAGATATAACATCATTTTCTTGTCCCTGTAAATCGTTCAATATAATGTCTTAAGTTTTAGGTAGAGGCGATCTTAGCGATAAAGTGGAACACAAATGACGTCAACTATTTGTCCTTGTTAAAGGATTTATCACCAAACGACGGTTCAAATGTTCAACCTAAGGTCTTAAAATAGAGTTTCTCACCTACTCATACATGTAAATAATCGCTAATAGATTTAAACATGAGTAGAGCGACCGTCTATAAATATGTTTAGCGCTTAAGTAATAGTTATAGTATATGAAACGAGTTAGTTACGAGGGTATAACACTGGCTGGGGCGACATCAAGGGGTGTTTCTGCTAAAAAATGGCGAGGCCGTTAGGCCGAGACAATTTTTTTTTCAGAAACATCCCGAGATGTCGCCCCAGCCAGTGTTATACCCCCGTAACTAACGAGATTCATATACTATAACTGTTTTATCGCAATGGCATAATGTTTTCCTTTTTTTGTATAGAAACAAATAAATAAATTAATCGTTAGCTACATTACAGTATTTATGATAAGGCAGTTTTTCAAGTTGTTTTCGCTGCCGCAAAAAAAAATATACAAAAGACATCCAATATAAGAGGCGGATTGTATACTGTTTACAAAAAAAATGATTTAAGATTAAAGGGCTTTTTTTCAGTGGAAATAATTCATTCAGCGGATGTACCTTTTGATTAAATGAGAGTACATTTCATTTCATTAATTATCTTTGTTTATATTTATCATTGTATTTTATATATTTATTTTATTTTATTTTATTGATTTCATTTTTTTTTGCTACTGGAATGGTCGTTACCACTGCCCCATTGGAGCCTCTATGAAAAAACTGTGTTGATATATAACAGGTGCGAAAAAAACTCAACCGATATATAACAGTCGAGTTTTTTTCCTATATGAATCAATGAAAAAACTGTACTGTTATATATCAGTACAGTTTTGAAATGCCCATTGAAGTGTACTGAGTATAATGGGTTATAAGAACAAAGGAAAAGTTCCAAACCATGCGATAATTGTTTCTTATTGGCCTAAAGCATCCTATATGTAATAGTTATAGTATATGAAACGAGTTAGTTACGAGGGTATAACACTGGCTGGGGCGACATCAAGGGGTGTTTCTGCTAGAAAATGGCGAGGCCGTTAGGCCGAGACAATTTTTTTTGCAGAAACACCCCGAGATGTCGCCCCAGCCAGTGTTATACCCCCGTAACTAACGAGTTTCATATACTATAACTGTTTTATCGCAATGGCATAATGTTTTCTTTTTTTGTATAGAAAAAAATAAATCAATTAATCATTAGCTACATTACAGTTATTTATCATAAGGCAGTTTTTCAAGCTGTTTTCGCTGCCGCAAAAAAATATACAAAAGACATCCAATATAAGAGGCGCCGGATTGTATACTGTTACCAAGATTGATTTAAGATTAAAGGGCTTTTTTCATTTCATTAATTATCTTTGTTTATATTTTCATTGTATTTATATATTTATTTTATTTAATTGATTTCATTTTTTTATTATTTTATGTTGTTTCTTTTTGCTACTGGGAATGGTCGTTACCACTGCCCCATTGGAGCCTCTATGAAAAAACTGTATTGATATATACAAGGTGCGAAAAAAACTCGACCGATATATAACAGTCGAGTTTTTTTCCTATATGAATCAATGAAAAAACTGTACTGTTATATATCAATACAGTTTTGAAATGCTCATTGAAGTGTACTGAGTATAATGGGTTAGAAAGAACAAAGGAAAAGCTCACAGCCATGCGATAATTATTTATTATCGCATGGTTTGGAACTTTTCCTTTGTTCTTATAACCCATTATGCTCAGAACACTTCAATGGGCATTTCAAAACTGTACTGATATATAACAGTACAGTTTTTTCATTGATTCATATAGGAAAAAAAAACTCGACTGTTATATATCGGTTGAGTTTTTTTCGCACCTGTTATATATCAACACAGTTTTTTCATAGAGGCTCCAATGGGGCAGTGGTAACGACCATTCCCAGTAGCAAAAAAAATGAAATCAATAAAATAAAATAAAATAAATATATAAATACAATGATAAATATAAACAAAGATAATTAATGAAATGAAATGTACTCTCATTTAATCAAAAGGTACATCCGCTGAATGAATTATTTCCACTGAAAAAAAGCCCTTTAATCTTAAATCATTTTTTGTAACAGTATACAATCCGCCTCTTATATTGGATGTCTTTTGTATATTTTTTTTTTGCGGCAGCGAAAACAACTTGAAAAACTGCCTTATCATAAATACTGTAATGTAGCTAACGATTAATTTATTTATTTGTTTCTATACAAAAAAAGGAAAACATTATGCCATTGCGATAAAACAGTTATAGTATATGAAACTCGTTAGTTACGGGGGTATAACACTGGCTGGGGCGACATCTCGGGATGTTTCTGCAAAAAAAATTGTCTCGGCCTAACGGCCTCGCCATTTTTTAGCAGAAACACCCCTTGATGTCGCCCCAGCCAGTGTTATACCCTCGTAACTAACTCGTTTCATATACTATAACTATTACATAACTTCGCAGGTTTTGACCAAATGCGACATTTAAATGAAACAAACACTGTTGGTAGAACGTGTGCTCGACTATTCTCCGTGTTTGATAATAAAACAAGAGCCTTGATAATGTAGAACATTCTTAGTTCAAAAGGAGCCATATATCTGTTAAAGCCCATGTAAGAGTTATGGGCCTTGTACAGTGACCAGTGATAAGTGTGTACAGCAATCATCCATTTTCTTCAGTTGTTTTGGAGAAACAAACCTTCACGCAAATCCTAACCAAAGTGTTACACCGACGCTTGGGTGAGTTCAAAAATTCTCTGCATTTCATGGAAAACTAGCGGCCAGAAATGTTCAAACTTGACTAAAAGGTAGTCAAAGACTAACGGCTGTATATCGTCAATAGAGTGGATGATCACGTGGCATTTGTTAAAGGTAACATTAATATCTTTTAGCATTTGAAAAATAAACATAAACTATGTTTGAGACATTTCTTTTTTCAATTCCAATAGAACATTTTTTTCCAATGCAGCTCATGTACTTTTCCGAAATGCAACGCAGCTCTTGGTATTTTTCCAAATGCTACGTAGCTCTTGTATATTTCCCAAATGCAACGCAGGTCTTGCACTTTTCCCAAATGCAACGCAACTTTTGTACTTTTCCCAAATGCAACGCAGCTCTTGCACTTTTCCCAAATGCAACGCAACTTTTGTACTTTTCCCAAATGCAACGCAGCTCTTGTACATTTCCTAAATGCAACACAGCTCTTGTACTTGTAATAAATAAATAAAACGATGCTAGTTGAGATTAGCAGACGCCTATCATTATCTCCCGCGAACAGACTCACCCAAACCGAATCTCCTACTTGCATTTACTTTGTTCTCACTAATCACGAGTGATCCCTTCTTCAAATAAAACTTACGTATCTGTAGAATCATACTAGAATCGAACTAACTTGTAACTACTGAACTAATGGAAAGGCGACTGAACATTAACAATTTACTGAATTCTAGCCCATAAATTGAATTTAAGTCAATAATATACTGAATTTTAGTCCATAAATAGAATTTAAGTCAATTATATTCTGAATTCTAGTCCATCAATAGAATTTAAGTCAATTATATACTGAATTCTAGTCCAACAATAGAATTTAAGTCAATTATATCCATAAATAGAATTTAAGTCAATTATATACTGAATTTTAGTCCACAAATAGAATTTAAGTCAATTATATACTGAATTCTAGTCCATCAATAGAATTTAAGTCAATTATATGCTGAATTCTAGTCCATCAATAGAATTTAAGTCAATTATATACTGAATTTTAGTCCACAAATAGAATAATTAAGTCAATTATTACTGATTTCTAGTCCATCAATAAAATTTAAGTCAATTATATACTGAATTCTAGTCCATCAATAGAATTTAAGTCAATTCTATCCATAAATAGAATTTAAGTCAATTAATATATACTGAATTATAGTCCATCAATAGAATTTAAGTCAATTCTTTGCTGAATTCTTGTCCATAAATAGATTTTAAGTCAATTATATACTGAATTCTAATCCATCAATAGAATTTAGACAAAATCCTATACCGAATTCTTGTCCATAAATAGAATTTAAGTCATTTATATACTGAATTCTAGTCCAACAATAGAATTTAAGTAAATTTTATCCATAAATAGAATTTAAGTCAATTATATTCTGAATTCAAGTCCATAAATAGAATTGAAGTGAATTCTATACTTAATTCTTGTCCATAAATAAATAGAATTTAAGTCAATTCTATACTGAATTCTTGTCCATAAATAAATAGAATTTAAGTCAATTCTATACTGAATTCTAGTCCATCACTAGAAGTTAACTGAATTATATACTGAATTCTGGTTTGTCTATAGAATTTAACTCAATTAAATATATTGAATTCTAGTTAATCAATAGAATGGAAGTCAAATTACTGATTTCTAGTCCATCGATAGTATTTAAGTCAATTTACTGAATTCTGGTCTGTTAATAGAATTTAAATCAATTATATACTGAATTTTAGTATCAACTGAATGAAAGTATTTGTATTTAATGGAAACAGCAATAAAACCAATCAAAGGCATGTCTCAACTTAAACATTAGAATATTATTACTGTGTAATATATTTTTTTTTTCATTTTTTTTCCAGGACGAATGAAAGGACATATAGATTTTAAATCAATTTAAACAAAATATTTTATCAATGACTTACTCGGTTCAGTGTTTTAATCGAATATAATTTTAAAGAGCGTACAATGCTTATTTTAAAGTTTATCTCAAGAAATAAAATGTACAATCTTTTAATAGAAATGTTACGAACAGTTTTAACATATTTATTGCTTTGTAATACATGTTAATATATAAATGTAGAATATATAAAAATGAAGGCAACACATTTCATTTCACTATTAGAGTATTATCTCCCATGTATAATTCCGCAAATGTGTGATTAACATTAACGTATCAAAAAAAAACTATTTGAGCCACGTCACGACAAAAGCAACATAGTGGGTTTGCGACCAGCATGGATCCAGACCAGCCTGCGCATCCGCGCAGTCTGATCAGGATCCATACTGTTCGCTTACAGAC